AAGTCAGAGAAAGACAATTACCAGAAGAGCTCACCTTGATAATGAATGAATTTTTAAAAATGAAGTATATATGCCAAATATTTTTTGTAAAGATTTCCCTTCTACATGGGAAAACTGGCTATTATTTCTGATGATTGCATGCGAATCCACATTGTTCCAGAATAAAACGTTAGAAGAAAAAAAAAAAAGAGGACTGTTAAAACATCTGCAACTTGTGGGGCGTCTGGGTGGCTTAGTGGGTTAAAGCTTATGCCTTTGGCTCAGGTCATGATCCCAGGGTCCTGGGATCCAGCCCCGCATCAGGCTCTCTGCTCAGCAGGGAGCCTGCTTCCCTTTCTCTCTGCCTGCCTCTCTGCCTACTTGTGATCTCTATCAAATAAATAAATAAAATCTTGGGGTGCCTGGGTGGCTCAGTGGGTTAAAGCCTCTGCCTTCAGCTCAGGTCATGATCTGAGGATCCTGGGATCGAGCCCCACATCTCTCTGCCCCTGCTCTCTGCCCCGCAGAGAGTCTGCTTCCCCCTCTCTCTGCCTGCCTCTCTGCCTACTTGTGATCTCTCTGTCAAATAAATAAATAAAATCTTTTTAAAAATAAATAAATAAATAAATAAAATTTTAAAAAAAATCTGCAACTCGTATCCCAGAAAGGGTTAACCCTCTTGCTATATAAAGAGCTTCTAGATATCACTAAGAAATAATAATAAAAATAAGCATGTCTACAGCACCCAATCCATGGCAAGTCCTGTTCTAAGTTTTTTCTGTGCATTTTTCTGTGCATTAATGCATTCAATCCTCCCAACATCCCCGCATTACCTCCGTTTTGCAACTAAGGTAACTGAGGCCCAGAGGGGTTAAGCAACTTGCCCAAGGCCATAGAGCTAGTAAGTGGTAGAGCCAGGACTCAAAACCTGGTAGTCTGGCTCCAGAGGGCAGGCTCTTACGCTCTGTATTGAACTCTGCGGGCCTATAGAAAAGACCCATAACCTAGTTGAAAAACTGGCAGAGCATATAAACAATAAAGGAAAAACAGCTGGGTCTTAAACTCGGAGGTGGAGAGAGAAAGCCAGCGATCGAAGGGTGCTATGCACCCCTGGGACCAGGATTCTCAGGGCCTCCTCTGCCCGAGCCTGAACCAGCCGCTGCCACACCTCAGTTGTGCACTCCTCCTTCAGCACAAAACACCAAACCTGTCTTGCAAAACCTGCCTGTCTACGGCCACTCACCCCCAGGAGGCACTGAGGGAAAGGGAAACGGGCAGAAGGCCATGCCTCAGAGATCACAGGGACACAGACCCGAGCAGCCCACAGGGAGGTGGGCAGACAGGTGCAGGGCAGGTGGGCTCAGCTCTGGAAACAAAGAGGACGGAGAAGGGAAGAGGCAATCTCTACCTTTGGTCCATTTCCCCCTTGGAGATCTTTTTTTTTAAAGATTTTGTTAACTTATTTGACAGAGAGAGATCCCAAGTAGGCAGAGAGGCAGGCAGAGAGAGAGGAGGAAGCAGGCTCCCCACCCAGCAGAGAGCCCGATATGAGGCTCCATCCCAGGACCCCGAGATTATGACCCAAGCCAAAGGCAGAGGCTTAACCCACTAAGCCACCCAGGTACCCTCCACCTTGGAGATCTTAATAGGCTGTCTGCCCAGTACCCCAGAATGACCCAAGGAGCAGACAGGCAGCTCCCACAAAGGGGCAGACAGCATTACCAGCCCTGCAATGTACACAGTCTTTCCCTCCAGTTAATCTTGGTCTTGCCACTCTTGAGGGGGAAAACGGGAACAAGTCAAAATATAGGCACAGACAGCCACAGGACATACAGGCGCGTGTCTGTGCACACACAGCCGTGCGCACACCCTGTCTGGGCGGCCGAGAATAACCGAGGCCAAAGCCTCCATGCCCGGGGCCAGCCCCCCGTGGGGCTCAGGAGGGGCTGGCTTCCCCACACACACACCCAGCGCTCAGATACCAGAGCAGATGGGGCCGAAGCGGAGGGAGCAACGTGGGTCAAGAGAAGACCCGGTGTCCAGGGCTGAGACTTTGTTTCTGGGTTCAAAGGTTTAAACCAAGAATGTTTACCTGGGTCGACTCTCTTTGTGGCAACTCTGGGCTGTTAGGAAGCAGGGTTGAGGGGAGCTGAAGGCACATTTACTCTCTTTTATTCTGTACTGTTTTAGGCCACGGGGACAGCAGCCGTACACTGCAAATCGTAACCATTACCATCATCATGGCAGCTAACATTTCTGACTCCTTGTCTTGTGCTAAGCATCATTTCCTTCATCCGCATGACAGCCCTGCGATACAGGCACTACTTCCCACTTTCCCCATTTTACAGATGAGAAAACCAAGGCCCAGAGAGGTTAGCCGATTTACCCAAGGTTACACATCCAGAAAGTGCCTGTTCAAATCACTTCCTGTGTTCTTCACTACTACATGGCACTGCTGCCTCCCAAGTATACTGGCCAACACGTAGATAAAATTTCAGATCCTGTTAAGTACTAACCGAAGATAAAGCACGATTAGAGACAGAGGATGGCCAAGACAGCGGGTCACTCCTGATCTCTAAGTCAGGTCATCAGGGAAAGGGTTTGGAAGACGTGGTGACATTTGTACAATATCCACACTGGCAAGGAGCCCAGGTGCCAAGATCTGAGAGAAAGGCATTTTAGACAAAGGGGACAGTATGGGTTTTTTTCCAAGAGGGATGGAAAACTATGGGAAGGTTTCAGCAGGGGTATGACAGGGGTAAGCATCCTTCCCTGCACATCACTACCCCAGGAGATCCCTTAGGCTTCCCTCCCAAATGGAAAGTTCCTCCCCAAGGCCCACCACAGGCCTTCCCCAGGGTTCTGGGCTGGATGGGGAGGCAGGAGGCTCCCTGTGTACACTGAGACATCTAGGAAAAGCAAGTTCTGCAGACTTCTCTTCCATCCTGGCCCCTTCTCTCCTACAAGTCTCCATTCCCCTGCTTGGCCAAGCCCAGACAGAACTCCATCATGTCTGGGGAGGGAGAGAGGGGTGGGAGGTGCCAACAGCTCCCTTGGCTGCTGGCTGAACTCACCTTCTTCCTTTCCTCCCCTCCCACTCCCAAGATGCTGAAGAAGCCAAAGAAAAATGCCCACAAGCCCACAGCCTCAAGCCTGGGTTGGCTCCCGGGCCTGTAGCTACTTGCAAGTCTCCTTACCCGTGACCCTCCGGGCCACCCTTCACCCTACCCCACCATCCTCTCACTGAAACCTTCAGGGAGAGGAGCCTGTCTCTAAGGACTTGGAGGGGCTGATCTTGAATTTCACACAGTGAAGCACCTTCCAGCCTCTGGGCACCCGGGGGACACAGACCCTGCACCAACGCCATTGGGCCCCAGAATGGTTCGGCACACAGGGAGAGGTGAGGAATAATTGGTTGACTGAAAGCCCCAGAAATGAGCCACGTGTATCAGCCCGTTTTGAGGCCCCGCGTGAACACAGGCTTTGATTTCATGCTAAACCAAGACACATTCCCAGAGAAGCCATTTCATGTACTGAAGACCGGCACTGTGAGGTGTATGTGTGTGTACATGTAACATGTATGTTGCACGTCCGGCGTAAGCTAGACTCATCAGTTGCATCAGTGAAAGCCGCATGACTTATTAAACACGACCTTTCTGTCCCTTGGTTTTCTCCTCCCCAAAAATGAAAGCTGTTGTGAGAATTAATTAGAACGAGACCTAAAAGGAGTCACAGTAGGAGCTCAGTAAGTGGTGGCTGGTACTCCTGTGGCCGGCAAGGTTGAGGTGCGGTAGGTTCAGGGCTCTGCTACAGGGCTGGGCAGCCTGGTGCAGTTTCCAGACTTTTGGGAAAGGCAAACCCGAATTCCCAGCAAAGGGGCAGTGGAGGGTGGGGAGGGGTCCTGGGGAGAGGAGAGCACTTGCTGACTTTTCTAGGGAATTGGGTGCTCCCACCAATTCGTCCCCTTTGCTCCTCACTACCCCAGCTTGGCTCACACCCCCCCCCACCTGCCTGCTATTCACACTAGCTCTGCCAGCAAGACCCAGCAGCACAGCCGGCCGCAACGTCCCTCCTCCTCCCCCTCTCCCCCTCCTCCGGGGCCTCTGCCCGCATCCCTTCCACCTTCCCCGCCACACACCCCAAGCTCCGAGAACACCCTAATTTGGCAATCTTTGTGAAATATCCCTGCTTTTCCTTGGGGAGCCACCTCTGCGTCTTCGTGTGGCCGGGCCAGAGGGGAGACTAAGTCCGAGAGGGGACCTGCGGCTCCACGACCTCTCCTGTGTTGCCTCCCGCCCCCCCAACCTCCTCCAAAACGCCGCGGCCTCCTGCCGGGCACCTCCCCTCCCCCTCCCCAATCCCCGGGAACCAGGCTGACACCCTCACCGGCAGCAGGACGCTAGGCCCTCCGGCGCAAACGCGCTGCCGCTGCCCCGCCCCCGACCTCCCCGGCGTCCCCGCCCCCTCCCCCGCCGCCTCCCGGAATCCTGGGAGTTGTAGTTTTCGGCCGCTCTCGGAGGGTGCGCGGCCAGTAGGGCCTGCGAGCCTTCCGTACGGATGACTGTCCAGCTGCTGCCGCGTGATCAGACCCACTGACCTCGCTATGAGGGAGCCCCAGAGCGCCAGAGGGGCCGGGGCAGGGGGCTGGCTGCCGGAGCGGGCAGTTTCCAGCAGGTCTCGCCTGCTCCAGGGTCCTGGGCGGGTCCCTCAACCTGTGCAAAACACCTGTCTTGGTAGGATTGCCAGGGAGAGCCTGGGCTCAGGACCTGGTGGACGCCGCGTATCTTCAGTAAAGGAATGCTGCTGCGACAGGTGCCCGGAGTTGCTGGCCTGGCAGAGCTGCCAAAGGCAATCAGCCCCCTGGAAGTGGGTTTGGGCCCAGGGCCTGGACATGGGGATCCAACCCCCCCAAACCCCCAAGTTACTCGCACACATATTTGGGCCAGCCCCCGAGGAGCCCCGCCCGGCCCCTCCGAGTTCCCTTCTTTGCCTCTGGCCATCCACAAACACACTCTACATTTACTCAGAAATATTTGATATTTAGTTCCCAATATTTTGATAACTTTTTTTTTTTTTTTTAACAAATTGAATAAATGGAATGAAGGGGAATAAGTGGGACCCCAGGCCTGGACTTGGGGTCCTGATGAGAGGTGACAGTATGAAAACTTCTCCTCACCCACAACTCCCGGCCTGCTGCCCTAACCTCTCCTATCAACCTTACCTAACAGTGAGGTGGGGGCTTTTTGGAGGATGTAGGGTCCCCCCCTAGAGGGGACTCCGGGCATCCTGTTTCAGGCCCTGAACTGCCTCAGGTTGGGGGACACTGTGGGCCCGGATGTGGCGCCGCCTCCGCCTCTCCTGCCTGCGGGCCAGCTGTCGCAGCTGTTTCCGGATGGCCCACAGCACCAGGTAGACTTCCCGCAGCATCTCAGCCTCCGGCGTCTCCAGAGCGGACCCAGACCTCATCTGGGAGGAAATGGAGGTAGAGCTCACAGAGGACTATGAGAGAAAGAGAGAAGATGTGCACATGTCAATAGCTTTGTCTAGGGAGAAACCGCTGGTGATGAACAGCAACCACTTGTCTAGTGCTACCTCCTCCCATCAGGCCTAGCTCAGGCACCGTCTCTACCAGGAAGCCTTCCCAGGCTGCATTAGGTGTTCTTTGTCTCTACCCTTGGGTTTCCCTCAAAATCTGGCATGTCATACACTCTTTGTTCTGCAGACCGGTTTGTTTTCAACACTAGAATTCGAGCTCCTGAAAGACAGACACCATGTCTCACCCATCTTTGAGTCCTCACTAGGGTTGCATGGAGATTGTGTTAAAATGAAAGGCGGGTTGGGGCACTTGGGTGGCTCAGTCTGTTAAGCCTTCAGCTCAGGTCATGATCCCACGGTTCTGGGATCAAGCTCCATGTGGGGCTCCCTGCTCAGCAGAGAGTCGGTTTGTATCTCTCCCCTTGCTGTGCACCCCGGCTTGTGCTCTCTCTCAAAGAAATAAATCTTAAAAAAAAAAAAAAAATGAAGGACAGAATGGTCCCCGACCTCCAACTCCAGTCCAGAGCCCCCTCCTCACCTCCAGGCCTGTATATCCCGCTGCCTTCTAGATATTTCCATGCAAATGTCCCACCGACATCTCAGCTCATCTTGCCCCAATTCCCTCAACTCATCACTTGTTCCCCTAAGTCTGCTCTTGCTCCTTCATTCTCCACCCCAGTGACTGCCTCCAGCCTGCTCTGACTTCTGTCTCTCCCTCCTTCTTCACCGTCATCCAATCAACCAGATGGTACAACAATTCTACCTCTTAAATACCCTGCCTCTCCTCTTGTCCTTTTTTTTTTCTTTTTTCTTTTTTTATCTTTTCAAGATTTTATTTGACAGAGATCACAAGTAGGCAGAGAGGCAGGCAGAGAGAGAGGGGGTGGGAAGCAGGCTCCCCGCCGAGCAGAGAGCCCGATGCAGGGCCCAATCCCAGGACCCTGAGATCACAACCCGAGTCTAAGGCAGAGGCTTAACCCACTGAGCCACCCAGGCGCCCTTCCTCTTGTCCTCTTCTGACCCACCCATCACAGGGTGCCAAGTGAACTTTATTAGTAGTACTGTAATACTTCATTGAAGGCCAAAATAAGTTGGCTTGGTAGTCATCCAGACACTTCCCTTTTAAAATTACATTTCTGACTTTGAGAGACTTGTAGTCCGATGAAATTGTGAAATACTAGATTCCTTCTATGTTCTTCACCCAAACTCCCCCAATAGTAAAATCTTGCAAAACTCTAGTACGGTATCACACAGGATACTGACATTGACACAATCCGTGGATCTTATCCACATTTCCCCCTTTGCTTGTACTCAGTTGTGGGTGTATTAAATTCTACCCAATTCTATCTCACAAACACAGGTTCATATCATCCACTGTCACAGAACATTTCCATCAACTCAAGAATTTATCATGTTGGGGCACCTGGGTGGCTCAGTGGGTTAAGCCTCTGCCTTCGGCTCAGGTCACGGTCTCAGGGTCCTGGGATCGAGCCCCGCATCGGGCTCTCTGCTCAGTGGGGAGCCTGCATCCCCCCCTCTCTCTGCCTGCCTCTCTGCCTACTTGTGATCTCTGTCAAATAAGTAAATCTTAAAAAATAAAAAAAAGAATTCATCATGTTGCCCTTTTACAACCAACCTACCTGCCAACCCCCCAACCCTTAGTCCCTGGCAACCACATAATCATTCATCAAGTCTCCATTTCTATAATTTTGTTATTTCAAGAGTGGTATAGAATATAAACACAATCATACAGTACATATAGAGGGGGGAAGCAGGCTCCCTGCCGAGCAGAGAACCCGATGCGGGGCTCGATCCCAGGACCCTGAGATCATGATCTGAGCCGAAGGCAGAGGCTTTAACCCACTGAGCCACCCAGGTGTCCCTATATATAACTTTTGGGGATTGGTGTTTTCACTCCGCATAACTCCTGAGAGTCATCTAAGTTCTTGGGCGCATCATTAATCTGTTTCTTTTTATGGCGGAGAAGTATTCCATGGTATGGAGACAACAGTTTAACCATTCACCCACTGAAGGACATTTGGGTTGGTTTCGGATATTACAAATAAAGCTGCTCTGATCATTCACATGGAGATTTTGTGTGAACATAAAGTTTCTTTTATCTAGGATAAATGCAAAGAGTATGACTGCTTGGCATATGATGACTGCAGGTTTAGTGTTATAAGAAACTACCAAACTGGGATGCCTGGGTGGCTCAGTTGCTTAAGCGTCTGCCTTTGGCTCAGGTCATGGTGTCAGGGTCCTGAGATCGAGCCCCGTGTCGGGCTCTCTGCTCAGCAGGGAATCTGCTTCTCCCTCTCTTTCTGTGCTCCCTCTCTTGCTTGCTCTCAAATAAACAAATTTTTAAAATCTTAAAAAAAAAACAAAAAACAAAAAACAGGGACGCTTGGGTGGCTCAGTCAGTTAAGCCACTGCCTTCGGCTCAGGTCATGATTCCAGGGTCCTGGGATCAAGTCCCGTATCGGGCTCCTTGCTCGGTGGGGAGCCTGCTTCTCTCTCTGCCTCTGCCTGCCACTCTGCCTGCTTGTGCGTGCCCTCTCTCTCTGACAAATAAATAAACAAATAAAATCTTAAAAATAAATAAATAAATAAAATCTTCAAAAAAAAAAAAGCAAAGAAAAGAAACTACCAAAATGTTTCCAGGGTGGCCACACCACAACCTATGAGAGCAGGCAAGCTTTCTAAATTCAGATCTGAGAAGCTGAGATACACTCTTCTGTTCAAATGTCTACAAGGGCTACCATCGCTCTCAGGGTCAAATCCAAACTCCACAGATGGCCAACCACTCTGCCTTGTACAAGCTGGTCCTTGGCCCCAGGACTGCCCAAACCCATCCCGTTGGGCCAGACCCCCACCCCAGCCCACCTGCTAGTCTGTCTTCACGGAATGCACCCCGTCACTCCCTCCCCCACTCCACCCCAAGATGGGGCCAAAACCTTCAGATCTCAGCTTCACCCCCTTCTTCTGCTAAGGAAGGTCTTCCTTGACTCCCTGAGTCTGAATGAGATGCTCCTCCTCTGGGCTCCCACAGACCCCTGACCTCCTGTGTCACACGCCCTAACACACTGAACCAGCAACGCCTGTGACCTTGTCTGTAGCTCCCTTAGTCGGGGTAAACCTTGTTCACCCTGTACCCTTGGCTGTCCACCTCAGTGCCTGGCAGGCACACAAAATCAATGTCCACCAAACGGCTGGAGTGGGGAAGGAGTCATGGGGGATCAGGGAGGGTGGGAGGCCCGCTGGGAACCAGGGGAATATGGTGCCAACCGACCTTCCAGCTGCACATCTGCCAGCCGCTCTGCAGGGCCGAGACCATGAGTGTGGAGACGGACTTGACAGCTGTCCGGGGCAGCTGCAGCAGGGATCTGCCCCCACGTTTCTTCTCCACCTCGGCATGATCCGCTGATTTGACCACCGTGAAGGCATCAGCTGCCTTGGGGGTCTCCCCGGTCTTGGAGACCTTAGCCTCCTCGCAAGGCTCAACCAACCTGAACGTGTCAGTCACTTTGGGAGTCTTCTCCACCTTCACTACACTTTTCTGGGAGTCAGAGTGTTCCAAGACGGTGGACTTAGCTTTGTGTTTCCAGAAGAAAACCTAAGACCCAGGACAGGGAGAGGAGAGAAGGGGGGCGGGGCACAACAATTGGCAGAGAGGCAATCACAGATGGGAAGAGGCCACGAGTGTCCCCACCTCCTCCCCAAATGGGTTTCTGTGACCTAGAGGTCATGGCCCAGCGCCTCCCACCCCAGCATGGCACAAGGAAGGGGGACTCTCTGAAACTCACCCAGCGAGTAATCTTTCGCCAAATCCATCGGAAGAACCTCATTACTGCAGCCATTTCTCCCAATACATGAGCACCAAGTAGGGAGCAGGACAAGCACGTGGTACCAAGGGTGGAAGGGAACAGGCTGCAGGCCAGTGGCCACCACCTGAGGGGTCTCTTGGGGGCTTCAGGCACAGCCGAGAAGAAAGAAATGGAGAATCCAGGGGGAAAGCTTTCACTGACAACTCATCCTAAGTCCTACCTCCCCTCCCTGAGACAGGGAGAGGAGTCAAAGTGGATGAGAACTCAGAGGAAGGCAGAGTTCTAGCCCATTGTGAGAGCCTGCCTGGCCCTGACCCCAACCCCCGAGGCCCTTCCAGGACCCACGGAGCCAATCCCTGCGCCCTCAGCCTGCCTTATCGCAGGTGCAGGGAAGGGAAATCAACATTTGCCAAGCGCCCGGTATTCACCGGACAGTCCCCACATATGATGTCACGTCATCACCCCCGCAGCCCTCTGGTAGGTATTTTACCCAAGAGGAAGCAGAGATGCAGAAAACACAAAAAACCTGCCCAAGGTCATCAATCTAGGGAGCTATAGGATGGAAAGTCCAACCTGGGGCGGCCTCCGGTATCCCACTGTCCACGCAGGTCCCCTTTAGTCTGGGGCCAAGCTGCTCTGAGACAGAGGCTGCCGCTTTCCCCCCTTCCCCACTAGATGGGGTCCTTCTCCCTACCTGCCTCTGCTGCCTGTGGCAGGAGCCCAGCCTAGGCTGTCGGGGAGGGGCCCCCCTCACCCACAAGGCCGGTCCTCAGCCAGAGGAGGGTGGAAGCCACAGAGGCCAGCCAGGCCTGGCGAGGGCACTGTGTGCCCGGGGGAGCCTGGCCCACACCCAGCGCTGAGACAAGGGGCCCATTCAGGCCCCCAGCCCCGCCCCCAAGCCGGCACCGGGATCCAACCCGCAGAGGGGACACACTGGGAAGCTGGAGGTGGATCCTTCACAATCACCAAAGGCCTCATTGTTTCCCTGCCCCCCCACCAGCACGTGGGCTGACGCCCCCCACCCCCCCACCCTCCCCCCCCCTCACCCCCCCGCCTGGCCTGTCTGCCCCTTCCCAGGACCCAGGCCACTGACTCCCTTTGGGCCCTTGGCACACCACCCCCAACTCCTCTGACCACTCTAAGCCACATTCAACCCCCCAGATTGGAGAAGCTCTCCAAGGGAGCCCACAGCCTCCGTCTTTCCCCCACAAGTGGAAAGACCACTGCAGGGCCCATCTGGACACAAGCAACAAGATGCCAACCTCCAGATTCAAGTTTCTTCGGATTTTTTAATTATAATTATTATTTTAATAACAACCTGAATCCCAAAACTTGCAGACTGTCCACACTCCCTCCCCTGGGCCGAGGAGAGGGGGTACTCTGAGGGAACAAGGTGGGGATGGGGTGTCTGCCAGGGAGACTCCCAACTCCCCCAGTCCCCTGCTGCCAGGGGCCCCAGAACACGGACACCTCGGGAGGGAGGAGGAGGGCTCCATCTAACACGCCATCCCGAAGCCCTCCCTCCTCCTCCAAGGCCTGGGGGTGCCACAGCCCAGTCCCTGGGCACCAGGGGGAGATTGAGGAGGAGTGGGGGGGGGGGAACAGGCCAATTCTGAGCCTTCAACTCCCATCCCCAGGGATCAGGAGGCATTAATTAAAGCTGCATAGGAAGAGGGGGCAGGCAGGCAGCTGGCACAAGGCCTGACAGCTGTGGGAGCCCCCAAAGGCACATTGTGAGGGAAGGGAGGCTCAGACGGAGGGCCCGTTGGGTGCAGGGGGCCCAAGCCGTGGGACTCCCGAGGAGGGCAGCTGGGCCAGCTGCTCAGGGCTGGCCAGGGCACGCAGCAGCCCGTTCTCCTGCTCCAGCGCGGCATTCCGCTCGGCCAGGTCGCGGATCTGCTCCTTCAGGACCTCCACCTCCTCCCGGACCGCAAACATGAGGTGGGACTTCACCAAGTCCTGGGGGCCCGGGGACAGACAAACAGTCAGGGGTCCCAGGCTACCCAAACCCTATCCCTGCCCCATGCCTCAAGGGCCTGGGTGTGACCGATGCCCCTGCTCCCAAGTGATGAAGGACCACTAGAGAAGGAGCAAAGCAGGGAAGAGGCGGGGGGGGGGGTGTGTGGAGGTTTGTGGGGTACAAGGATGCTGGACCGAGACAAGGTCAGGGCCTGAAGACAGAGATGGGGGCAGAGCCAGGGGCCAAGGGAGAGCAGGAGTTGAGGTGGACACAGGAGGGAACCCAGCTGGGAGCACGCTGAGGAGCTAGGAGTTAGTCCTCCTTAACGAGGACAGCAGGGGTGGGGCAGCAGGACAGGAGCCGGAACCTCCTGGAACCAAGATGGCTTCTCTTACCATGGCTTGTTCGATCTTGTTGTCAATGCCAACTAGGCTTCCGGAGCCGCTGGAGAGACACAGGGAGTTGAGAGGTGAGGAGGGAGAGTGGGGGCCAAGACAGGTGTCTGGACACCCCAGCCGGCCGCCTTCCAGGTGCTTCTCTGAGCAGGCTCCGGCCTCCTGCACAAACCCCACTCGCTGCAGCCTCCCGCCCACACCCCTGCCTGTACCTGTGACAGTAGAGAATCAGGGAGAGGAGGGTTTTGTCCATCCCCCGGCGGGGTGAGGGCCGCTGCCCAGGCCCCCCCAAGCCCCGGTGGGGTGGGGGTGCAGATGCCCCCCGGATGGGGGATGCTCCCCGAGGGGAGCAAGGAGAGGAGACACAGCCCCTTTTCCGGGGAGGCCCGGGAGCCATCCCCACCACTCGGGTCTCATAAGATGACACCAGGGACTTGACAGAGATGCCTGGCTGGGCCATCCCCAAGGAAAAGGGCTTTAGGCCCCCTCCAAAGGGAGAGGGCTGTATCAGAAGGACTGCCTGGGGGGCTCAAAGCCCCCCGGGGCAGAGCGGGGTCTAGCTGGTGCCAAGCAGGCAGAGAGGAGAGAGTGCCCAGGGGGTGCTTGTCTGAAAGATATACACCGCCCCCCAGGGCAAAGCCTGGCTGCTATTGGCTCCTCGGGGACACGGGGACCCCCTCCCACCGACTCCACGGTGGGCGGGAATTCCCAGACGCGGTCAGTGCCAGTGTCCCCTTCTCACCCTGGCACCAATCCCAGAGCAGAGGGAAAGGCGCAGGCTGAGGGAAGTCAGCTGGTGGGCTGGGTCAGGGGAGGGGCTCTGGGGCCAGAGGCCTGGGTCACGGAGGGGTGTGAAGGGTGAGGGACCGCCTGGCCTGGGGAGACCTACCTGAACTTCACCCCGTCCGCCCCTCTGGGCCAATACTGGCCTCCCTCAAGCTCTCGGCTGCACTGAGCTAGGACGGCGGGCATTTCTGACATACTTGTCATCTTCCTTGGACCGTCAGCAACCCACACCCCCATCCCAGATGCAAAGCCCACATCGCGGGTGAGCACTGGGGCCTGGCCACAGAAGGTCTTCCTCCCCACCCCACCCCCCCACGGTCACGGAGAAGAGAAATGAAAAGGTCACCAGGGCAACGAAAACAGCACTGAAAGACAAGCACAGGCTATGGGTATGGAACCTGGGTCTCGGGTCTGCAGTCTGGGGTCTTGGAGGGAACAGAGGCTTGAGGAGAGGTGGGAAGATGAGGCTGGAGGTGGGACATCGGGAACGGGAGCTGGGGCTGCTGATCCTTGGGAGCAAGGACAGGGGAGAGCAGGTCTGGCTGCAGTTTGCGAAACGGCCAGCAGAGGTCGACTCAGGCCTGGCGGAACGGTTCCCAGGGCCAGCCTGGGGATCCCTCAAGCATGTCTTATGCTCCGAAGCCAAGGGCCTCCGCGAGCCTTTCTGGCTTGCCCTACCCCCCAAGTCTCCCTCTTGTCACCACCCAGGTCTCAGGCTCTTGGCTCATCCCAAGCCTCAAGAAACATCCTTCTTCAGCTTCTCCCTTGGCCCTGGGGCCAGCTCTACACCCAGGCCTCCCCGTGCAGCAGCATCCATCCTGCCCTGAAGCCCCCCAGCTTTGCCCCTCTCAAAGTGGGTGGTCTCAACACGCAGCACCCCCCCACTCTTGTGCTCCCTTGTCGAGCCCTTTCTCCTGATTGTCGGCTCCAGCTCGCTTCCCTGTGGGGGGAATGAGCACTCCATTCAAGGTGACCCTTGGAGGAGGCCCTGGAGCCAGGAAGGGAGCAGGAGGGAGCTGGGAATTTTCCATTTCCTGCCCAAGCTCTGGGTGCAGAAGGCGCTGACAGGTGGAGGACCAAGGGGGTGACCAGGCCTGAGAGAGTGGGACAGGGCAGGGTGAGGAAAGGACACTGGGACTCCTCGGGCTGGGGGGCGGGGAGGTGGAACGGGACAAATTTAAGAGTGGAGGCTGAGCCAGCCAGCTAGAGAGCCAGGGCAGTTTTTTAAGCTATTTCAATCTGAGACACCTGGGTGGAGACTGCGCGACCACAGGACCCACCCCCCAACACACACACACACACACACACACACACACACACACACACAGAGAAGGGGAAGATTCACAGGAACAGGAACAGTGGCCTTGCTTGGCGGACACTCAGGTAGAGATGCCAAGTGAGTTGTTTGTACTTGCCAGAAATAAAGGAATAATACAACAATAAACATTTGTTGGCTGATAGATGACTATCTCCCGTTTGTCTAGCGCTGGAGAGTTTTTGACAGCACTTTCCACTGTCACATTCTAACATGAACACTTCAAGGGCCCAGGACTCTGGCGGCAACCCAAACCCTCCCTTTCAGAGCCTCTCCCGCCTCACAGTAAGTAAGCAGGAGGCACTGTGCGGGGATTCCCGGGCAAAGTCAGGACCTTGAAGCTTGGAGCTGGCTGGGTGGGATCAGCCCCAAAGACGACAAGCCCAAAAGAAGACTGTGTGCATTAGCACAAAACGCCCCCTCCTTCAAGACACTTGTTGCCACCTTCTGGGAAAACATCATGACTTTAAGTGTCCAAGACAATGACTTCCAATGTGAATGGGGTTGGGCCTGCTCGATATGTACAGCGTAGGACTCTGGCCGTCAGGAGGACTCTTGGGTCCTGGGACAAGGATAGCCCTAGAGGCTGGTCTTCCTTTTTGAAGGTCAAATAAAACAGCCTTAAAATGCGATCAGACGAAGAACAGGACATCTGGGAGAGGTGGAAAGGTTCTGATCATGGGATCATGATCAGACAAGGGCCAGCCCCACTCCCAGGAGCCTGCAGGGGATGGGCCGGAGGCCAAACTAGTGGCATCCGGCTGCCCTCACTGTACTACTCTCTCCCGGATCTCTGGTGCCTTGGGGTGGGGCCAGGCCAGAGTGTGTGTGTTGGTGGGGGGGGGGTGGCTTCTTGCCCAGCTTAGGAGAGTTGTCCCTGTCCCTGTCCCTGTCCTGGAGAGAAAAGGCACCCTGGAGAGGACTGCCTCCTCTTCTCCTGGGACACAGGCATCCCAGGAGGAGAATGGAGAATCCGGCTTTGGGGTCAGACCCAGGCTCTGAAGGCAGTCCTGGCACTTACTAGCTTGGTGACCTTGGGTAAGTTTCTAAAACCTTCCTCCTGAGTTTTAGCTGCTTCATCTGGGAAGTAGGGATCATGGGGCTGCTTCAGTGACATAAAATGTAGCAGCTGACCCCAAGGAGGCAGTGGATAAATGTACTTTTCCTTTCCCAAGTCCTTGGGATTCATTCCCTATGTAATGCCTAGATCCCCCATCCTGGCCATCTACCCCCCCACCCCATCCACTCGTCTATCCATCCACTTATTCAAGTACGTTGCAACTGCCAGGCCCTGCTGGGGACACAAAGGTTCTTGCCACCCAGGAGCACGTGAGCATTTACCATTCACCAGGCACCCTCTGTCCTCCCATCCCCAGATTCGGAGATTGGCAGGCATCCCCAATTTCCCATCTGGGATCCAGGCACTCAACTGCCCAACCCACTTTCCCTCTTGAAAGGGAGATTCCATGCCACTCAGACCCTGTTCTCCTGCCAGCTCTGGGCACACCAG